CTGGCATTGTACCACAAGGTTCCATATCACAAAAGGGAATGCTTGGATTAATTTTGGGGGTAATTGCCTCAAAATTTTAGGAATTAGGGGCCAAAAAAGGGGCAAAAAACAAGCATTTCCAGTTTCATGACAATAACTTGTGTGTAAGTCCATGGATCTTTCTGAAATTGTACTACAAGGTTCCATATCATAAAGGGAAAGCTGGAATTGAGTTTGGGGGTAATTGCCCAAAACGTTTAGGAATAAGGGGCCAAAATAAGCATTTTTCTAGTTTCCAGACAATAACTTGTGTTCAAGTATATGGATCTCTCTAAAATGGTACTGCAAGGTTCCATATCACAAAGGGAATGCTTGGATTGATTTTGGGGGTAATTGCCTCAAATCTTTAGGAATTAGGGGCCAAAAAAGGGGAAAAAAACAAGCATTTTTCTAGTTTCATGACAATAACTTTTTTTTTCTTTTTTAGCTCACCTGGCCCGAAGCTTTTCTCATCACTTGGCGTCCGTCGTCGTCGTTAACTTTTTATACCCCCCGCAACGAGTTGCGGAGGGTATAATGTTTTTGACCCGTCCGTCCGTCCATTCGTCTGTCCGTCTGTCCGTCCGTCAGTCCATCAGTCCTGTTTCTTGTCATCGCAACTCCTCTCAAACCACACAACAGAATTTCTCGAAACCTTTTTAGATAATAAGGACATACTATGTAGTTGTGCATATCGACAGGAAATTACAATTCAATTTTTTTTCTAGGAGTTACGCCCCTTTGAACTTATTTACTTTAATGTAGTACTGCAACCTTTTGTCATCGCAACTCCTCTCAAACCACACAACAGAATTTCATGAAACCTTTTCAGATAATAAGGACATACTACGTAGATGTGCATATCTACAGGAAATTACGATTCAATTTTTTTTCAGGAGTTACGCCCCTTTGAACTTATTTGCCCAATATAATACTGCAACCTTTTGTCATCGCAACTCCTCTCAAACCACACAACAGAATTTCATGAAACCTTTTCAGATAATAAGGACATACTACGTAGATGTGTATATCGACAGGAAATTACGATTCAAATTTTTTTCCAGGAGTTACGCCCCTTTGAACTTATTTGCCCAATGTACTACTGCAACCTTTTGTCATCGCAACTCCTCTCAAACCACACAACAGAATTTCATGAAACTGTAGATAATAAGGACATACTATGTAGATGTGCATATTGACAGGAAATTATGATTCATTTTTTTTTTCTGATACAATTTTTTTTTCTTACACTTATTTTATTTCTCCAATGACAATGTGGGGACGTGGGGTATGTGAGCGCGCTCACTAAGGTTCTTTAATTACATTTTGAACTTCTTCTAGAGAACCACTGAATGGAATTAAACCAAACATGGCATGAATGTTCCTTATGAGGTGTTGACCAAGTGTTGTTACTTTGATGCTGATCCATTATCCAAGATGGCCGCCAGCAGGGGACTTAGTTTAACATAGGACCCTATGGGAAATACATACAAATGTCTTCTTTTAGAGAACCACTGAATTGAATGAAACCAAACATGGCATGAATGTTCCTAATGAGGTGCTGACCGAGTGTTGTTACTTTGAAGCCGATCCTTAATCCAAGTTGGCCGCCAGTGGGGGACTTAGTTTAACAAAGGACCCTATGGGAAATACATACAAAAGTCTTCTTTTAGAGAACCACTGAATGGAATGAAACCAAACATGGCATGAATGTTCCTTATGAGGTGCTGACCAAGTGTTGTTACTATGAAGTCGATCCATAATCCAAGATGGCTGCCTGAAGGGGACTTAGTTTAACATTGGACCCTATGGGAAATACATACAAATGTCTTCTTTTAGAGAACCACCGAATGGAATGAAACCAAACATGGCATGAATGTTTCTTATGAGGTGCTGACCGAGTGTTGTTACTTTGACGCCTATCCATAATCCAAGATGGCTGCCTGAAGGGGACTTAGTTTAACATGGGATCCTATGAGAAATACATACAAATGTCTTCTTTTAGAGTACCACTGAATGGAATGAAACCAAACATGGCATGAATGTTCCTTATGAGGTGCTGACTGAGTGTTGTTACTTTGAAGCTGATCCATAATCCAAGATGGCCGCCAGCAGGGGACTTAGTTTAACATAGGACCTATGGGAAATACATACAAATGTCTTCTTTTAGAGAACCACTGAATTAAATGAAACCAAACATGACATGAATGTTCCTTATGAGGTGCTGACCAAGTGTTGTTACTTTGAAGCTGATCCATCATCCAAGATGGCCTACAGCGGGGGACTAAGTTTAACATAGGAGCCTATGTGAAATACATACAAATGTCTTCTTTTAGAGAACCACTGAATGCAATGAAACCAAACATGGCATGAATGTTCATTACGAGGTGCTGACCAAGTGTTGTTACTATGAAGCCGATCCATAATCTAAGATGGCTGCCAGCGGAGGACTTAGTTTAACAAAGGACCCTATGAGAAACACATACAAATGTTTTCTTTTAGAGAACCATTGAATGGAATGAAACCAAACGTGGCATGCATGTTACTCTTGAGGTGCTGACCAAGTGTTGTTACTTTGAAGCTGATCCTTCCATCCACGATGGCCGCCAGATGGGGACAATGTTTAACAAAGGACCCTATGGACAATACATACAAATGTCTTCTTTTAGAGAACCACATACTGAATGGATTGAAACCAAACATGGCATGAATGTTCCTTATGAGGTGCTGACTAAGTTTTGTTACTTTGAAGCTGATCCTTCATCCATGATGGCCGCCAATGGGGGGATTTCCTTTAACATAAGACCCTATGGGAAATACATACAAATGCTTCTTCTAGAGGTGCACTGAATGGAATGAAACCAAAACATGGCATTAATGTTTCTTATGAGGTGCTGATGAAGTGTTGCTACTTTGTTGCCGATTTACTGTTCAAGATGGCCACCAGGATTTTTTATTAAATTACAGGACCAATATTAAACCAAATTTGGCCTCACTCATTATTAGGGTATCTGTTATGATTTTAATCTATTTTTACATGATTTCCAAAACCAAAGTAGAATCAGGTGAGCGACACAGGCTCTTGAGAGCCTCTAGTTTTCTTTAAAATTTTCTATTTTAAATTGGTTATTTGTGATTTATATATAAAAGCAAATAATAATGATATGGTTTGAATAGGTAAATTAAAAATTTTTAAGTTCTTAGACCACATTCATTCTGTGTCAGAAACCTATGCTGTGTCAAATATTTAATCACAATCCAAATTCAGGTCTGTATCAAGCTTGAATGTTGTGTCCATACTTGCTCCAACTGTTCAGGGTTCGACCTCTGCAGTCGTATCAAGCTGCGCCCAGCGGAGCATGTTATTAAAATTGGAGTTATCTTCCTTTGTCCATGATTATAGTTGAATCAACTACAATCAATGCGTTAAACAATGCAATGTTTAATTTTGCCTTCCACTGATAAATTAAAGCAATTTTTACCCTTCATTTCTAAAAATATTTTAAAGTCTTCTTTGAAAATTGTAGTTATCTTTCTTTGTGCATAATGGTAGTTGAATCAACTACAACCAATGCTTTATACAATGCAATATTCAATTTTACTTCCTACTGATAAATTAAAGCAATCTTTACCATTCAGTGCTTACAAGCACTTTGATTACCGTTTTTAGGGTTATGCCCCTTTACAAATGAAAAAATTGCTGAATTTTTCGTTTCCGTTCTCTAACTTGAGTTTGTCTTAACTAAATGTAATTTCTAAAAATATCAATGTCATTATTCAAGTAATTTTTAAAATTGGAGTTATCTTCCTTTGTCTAATATTATAGTTGAATCAACTACAATCAATGCTTTATACAATGCAATGTTTAATTTTGCCTTCCATGATAAAACACAGATCAAGTTGAATTTGGGTAGTGTCACTTTAACCATTATTGAGTTATGCCCTTTATAAATTGAAAGATTGCAAAATTTTTTATTCTGTAACTTAAATTTGCCCCAACCAAACATTATGAAACCTATACACAATATTCATTACCACAAAACTAAGATCAAGTACACATTTTTTGTTTCCGTTTTCTAACTTTAGTTTGCCTCCACCAAATGTTATGAAACTTATACACAATGCTTATTACTACATAATACAGATTAAGTACGAAATTTGGTGGCGTCACTTTTACCATTCTTGAGTTATGTCACTTTATAAACATAAAAATTGCTGAATTTTTCGTTTCCGTTCTCTAACTTTCATTTGTCTGAACCAAATGTTATAAAACTTATACACAACTGTTCTACATGTTCTAGAGTTATGCGTGTTTACAAAAAGAAAAATTGCTGAATTTTTAGTTTCTGTTCTCTTCTTAAGTTAGCCTCAACCAAATTTTATGAGACTTACACACAATGCTTATTACCACAAAACTCAGATCAAGTTCAAATTTGGGTAGCGTCACTTTTACCGTTCTTCAGTTATGTCCCTTTATAACTATATGATATGCAAGTGGGGGCATCATCTGTGTCCACATGTGGACACAATCCACATTTATTTTCTTTGTGCTTGAAGATATTGATTTGATATTTGGTGTATTGTTTTATCATGACAAGTTACAGATCAAGTTCGAATTTTGTTCTGGTCTGATGATTTTGTGCAGAGTTATGATCCTTGGACTTGGAAATTCACTCAAACAATCAGTTTTCATCACTTTTTTGTCATGCTTGAAGATATTGACTTGATATTTGTTAAAAAGTTTACACCATGACAAGTTATAGATCATTATAGAGAATTTTTAACCTGTAGGGGACTGAATTGCAATGCAATGAATGAATGTTTGGCACATGTGATTTACTCATAACCAATCTTTCCTGTTTGGTAACCAGTACTTAACACTTATTTATTAGGTCAAGTGTCTTACATTGTCTTGCATTGTATATACATATTAATTTCAATTTATGTAAATTATTGTTTTTATTTTTCAGATAAATCATTGAAGAACATGGCTAGTAGACCTCTTAAAACATCAGAGTATCACTTTGAAGCTGGCCATGGTAAAGTTGATATTTTACTTTAAATAGCTTCACTATTGTACATGCAAGCAGAAGTCTTTAACTGTTGTCAAGGTTGGCTCAATGGAAAGCCTTTCTTAAAACAACATATTGTTGATAACTTCAGACATATTTATTTCATAAATGTGTAAGTGAAATTTCACAGTATTGAAATTTTTTTTTGTCTCGCCTATGATGAAAGTCGCAGAATATGAGACAGGGATTACTATCTGTCCATAGCGTAGGCTATTTGTATAAAGCTTTCTATTTCAGAAGGTAGAATACATGAATGCTTCATACCTTGAATGCAGATACCTTACATTACAAATTTTCCTTCTGTCATATGTCCATTGTCCTTAAGTAACCTAATTTTCATGGGTCAGCAACTGTTTGAAATTTTTGTCATGTGAATTTCTCACAAATTAATTATGACATGTATTAGTAATAGGATAACTATATTTGTTATGGGTTCCTTGCAAAGTCTCCATGTCCCTCAGACATGATTCACCTGACCTCTAAGCATAAGGTCTAAAAATGTGGTGTATGGAAGATAATAGAATGATTGTAAGGGATAGATGTCAGTCTGGCAGGTTTCTTCTGACCTTGATCTCATATTCATGGTTCATTGGTCAATGTTAATTTTTTGTGTTATGGTCTGTTTGATGTATGGAATGATTGTAAGGTGTACCTGTCTGTCTGGCAGGTATCATTTGTCCTTGACCTCATTTTCATGGTTCATTAGTCCATGTTATGGTTCTGAAGTTTGGTCCCCTTCTTAGATCTATACTGTAAGTTATAGGTCAACTATATTATGTGTATAGATTGATTGTAAGGTTTACATGTTTTTCCGGCAGGATTCATTTGACCTTGACTTCATTTGCATGGTTCATTGGTTGATGTTTAGTTTCCATGTTAAGTCTGTATCTTTAATATTATAAGCAGTATACATGTAGGTAAACTATATTTGGTGCATGGAATTATTGTAAGGTGTACATATCTGTCTGGCATATATGTATGTATGTTTGAAGATCCCACTTTGAATGGAGCACCCCTCAATTACATTTGACCATGACCTCATTATCATAGTTCAATGGTCATTTTTAAGTTTTTCTCAATGTATGTAGGCGACAAAGGCTATTGGTTTTAGCTGAAACGCAGAGAGATTGTAAAATGCAAGCTGCCTAACATATCAATTCACAAGTTACGGTTCACTATCGAAACTTTGTCTTCATATTTTAGGTAACTTTACAGACAAATTATGAAAATTGAGGTCTTGTATATTTATGTTGGGTCATAATTTAAAAATAGGAGAAAATATCCATTCTTTAAAAGCATTAAAACTCGCTACTTTTCTTGTTCTGAAGTAATTTCTTCTTATGCCTCCTTTTTTTCTGTACTAGTTTTTTATATCCAGTTTTAATTTACGCTGATGACTAACATTTCTTAATGATTGGAGAACAGTTCAAATCCCAACATATCATAATACAAATTCTGCAGACAGGTGCAATGATTACAATTGCATAAACAAATGGATTTCAAAATTACCTGTGACTACCAAATTTAACAACTCTCTCCACTTCAGCTTGTACTTATATCCAGTATCACCTCCCATACTGTGTTCCTGGTTAAGTCTGTTTCTTGGAAAATATAAGCAATAGGTTAACTATTGGTTCAAGGAATAATTGTAAGGTGTACATGTCTGCCTGTCTGTCATGTATCATCTGACCTTAATTGACCTTGTGTGTTTAGTTTTGTTTCTTAGAACTGTAAGCGAAATGTTAACTATATTTGGTACTGTGGATTCATTATTATTCGTTGGATACCCATTTGCGTGGATTTTGTGGTTACCTGGGAACCAAGAATTCCAATGTAAAACGAATTACAAATATTCTATAAGAATGTATGCAGAATTTGGCAAAATCACAAAATCAAATATCCACGAAAATGCCAGTTTTCCTCAATCTGCGAAAATTGGTATCCATGAAAATAAATGAATCCACAGTATATGGAAATATTGTAAGGTGTACATTTCAGTCTGCCAAGGTACTAGTATTTCTTATCTTGACCTTATGCAAGCATGGCCAGTTAAGCAGGCAAGCGTGTGCACTCCTATTTTATAAAGACAGTGAAATAAGTTTTTTGTTTTATCTAAAAGTGTTAAATAGACAGAAATTGTGAGCACTAAGATGATCAACAATTAAAGATCTACAAACAGGTCACCATTACTGAAATCATCTATGACAGAAGCTATAAACAGCTATTACATGTATTATGCTCACCAATACAACATTTCCAAAAAATGCATAGAAAAGAAATCTTTAACATATTTAATGGACTCTTTATTGAAGTTGTTGCCTTGAAATTTTTTTTTTTTTGACTTTGCCTTTTATCTTGAAAATAAAAAATAAATAGAGAGAAACTTTGATGAGCAATGATCATCAGTTAGACAAGATCTAGGAAAAGTTGAACAAAACTAAATGTCAGTTATTTATAGGTGTAATATTTGCCCTTGAATGATTTTTTATGCCCCCGCCGTAGCGGAGGGGACATTAAGTTTTACCCTTGATTGTCTGTACGTAGGTACGTACGTACTTACACATTTTTCCATGTTTAGCAAAATTCTGTAAATTCAGGACTTTTTCATACATTTATTATCTCCATTGTTGAACAATGGAAATACAGTACTTGCAACCTTAGGCGTTACTGTTTTAGCGATCAATGAGCAGTCATCGATTAGTCACCGATCAGTCAAGTTCGCGTCAAACTCACGTCACCAATCCGTCAGACTTACAGTAAAAGTATTTGACTGATCGGACGGATCGGACGGATAGGACCGATCGACCTTTCTGACGGATTGAACTCTACTACGTCACATGATAATCTAATACAAATTACGAAATCTTAGTTTCGTTTCATTTAATTAAAATGGCGACATGGAAAGACGAAACATTCAAGTACTAATGATCAACATCTTTTTTTATTAATTATTTAGCACAGTTTTAAGAATTTAAAAAGAAAAGAAATATGCATATAAAACTAAATTTAAATATTACTATTAAAGAATGGCCATTTTCGTTTTAATTTAGGTTATATTTTTTCAAACCCGGACATTTATAAAACGGTGTTGATCGCGATTTTCAGTGATTTTATTATTTCCCGAAATTGCTCTTGAAAATAAAATGAAATGGTCCGAGTACACAGTTATTTCGTAGTGCATTTCTTTTAGACAATAAATGAAAATTAAAAAAATCCCACCTGCGCTTTCTCAATAATATTTTTACAGCGTGTTGTACTACTTTTGGGACAAATTATATCAAAATTATAGAAAACTTCATCGGCTCTAACTCAAAATATGGACAATTTCATGCTAAGGGGGTCTTCAAATCTTTTGACAGCCTCCGAAGTGCTAATTTTTAACATTTTTCAGCTGGACCAAATCACTACTTTACTTTAAAATTCATGACCAAAATTTTTTTACAGTGTCATTTCACCCCCCTACTTACTATTTGAGTCATAAAACATGGAGAAATAAATTCGGAAGGGGTATAAAAAAAATCGACAAGTAACACACTGTCCACACTAGGGACTATATTTGTGGACAACGAAAATCAAAGGACGATAACTGTGTACCCGGACCTAATAGGGTAGAAAAAGTTGACCAATCTTAATGAAACTTGGTATGACCAAAGCTTATTAAATTATAAGACTGCTTACAAAGTTTCATGGCAATAGGGTATACATTATAGACAATATGACTAATTCTATATTCAACTTTGAGTGTTAAATTTAGACGTTAAAATTGAAAATTTTCAACTATCAACATTTGGGGCTTAAAAAATTTAAATATTGCAAAAAAATACTTTTGAAATGCCTTAATATATAATATATTATGTATTAAAAGCAATTGAGTACTCATTTGATTTATCAGACTTATTATAATTATTAAAAAGTCAAATTTATATGAGCCTGTGGCTAAAAATGGAGGTTTTCCAATGAAGGGGGGCCTTACATGAAGATGTAATATTTTCCAGCAATTTTAAATTTGTAAAGCTTTTTGGTTATAAATAATCCTTACATATGTATTTAATGTACTTTAAATGGAAAGAAAACTTACAAATAACATATCACATTAGTTTAAAAGGGTCTTAGGCCAAGTAAGACTGAAAATAATTTAGGGTCAATTTAGGCCGTATCACATATTTACATTTAAAAATGCATATTGAAGCTATATGAAATAAAATTTTGTGTCTTTTCTATCATTTCTATACTCAGGTGACATGATACAATAAATCTGAGCACAAAAAGACTCTTGCATTCAACTTTTTTTGCAGACAGTATGGTCTGATACAAAGATTTTTCACTTTTTAGTGAAAAACATGCATGCAATTTTAGTCTCAACAGGCTTATATTTGAACCAATTGCTATCCTACAGAAGAAAAGAAAGATATTATGTGACATAAAACAGGCACAAAAGACATTGTTAAGTGCTTTTTATACAAATTTAGTGAGGTCTTTATAATGGACTTCAACTTTCATGTTCCAAGCTCCTCACATTTAACTTGATCCAAACAGGGCGTTAGACGAGGACCATATATACAACACATTTTGCACATATTGTCTGAGATAATCTTCTTTTCTGTAGATTCAGAGTTCACAAATGAGTAATACAACTGGATTGAAGCATAGAAACACAAATATTGACACATAAAAACCTGTCAGATAGAAAGTCAGAATGCCACTTATGCATCAAAATTGAAAAAGCTACGAAATGCTTATTTTGACCATAAAATGCCAAAATTGGTCATTTTTGCAGAAATTCTATCAAATAAAAGTTTGAATCCTTTAGTTTTATGCTATTTGATAAATTGACACCATCAAATCATTCAGGGAAGTTGCCAAAGTACAGATTCTATATTTCCAGATTTCACCTCTTAGGTCCGAGTACACAGTTATTTCGTAGTGCATTTCTTTTAGACAATAAATGAAAATTAAAAAAATCCCAC